ACTAGAAAACACTTAGATTAAACTTATTATTGGAATACCCGCTTACTTTAACCTAGACAACAACTACAAGTGTTATAGTCGCAAAAGGCGATTTCTGATTGACAGATTTGCTAAGCAATTAGATACGGTCGCAGTCCAGCAGGAACACACACAGTGACTATGGAAAATTAGAAAGCGTGCATTTAAAAGTGTTCCATTTCGGTGCCCTGTAGCTGTTGTAGTTAATGTGGCTTCAGACTTTCAAAGTTTCAACCACACACTGCTGAGAAAAAAAATTGCAGAGTTATATCTCTCATAAAAATTCTTAAATGGTTATGGACTAGTTTCACGCTTTAGGACCTTAGTTGTTTAGCGTCATCGGCTGGCTGGGACAAAAGCAGGGGGACAAGCCTGGCCCCCTCATGATCACATTACAGTAGAGAGCGAGGAGGAGAAATGGGAGGTTATTCGGCAGGCAAAAAACTTAGCAGGGAGCGACGCATTTCGGAGTGTATTCATTCATCCAGATTGCAAGGTAATTTTTTTCTTTTATGCTCTTCACCAAATGATCGGCTCGTTAGCCGCTAGGGCGATCGGTCACGTATCTGTTAAGCACTGTTGGCAGGTACTGGGCATGCACCGGCTCCTGAATGTACCTGAACCTGCTCCACTGTTGGTCAAGTCTTTTCTTGAAAGAGCTCACACTCGGTGCTGTTGTATTGACCACGGTCGTACACGTCAGTTAACGTAAAATCAGACGATTCATATTACGCTCAATAGCCCACAAAACATGTAACTATGCTTTCTTTATTTGAGTCCCCCATCAGAGGAGTTCGTTTTCTCATCACTTCAGAACGCCTGAGTCCTCCGTTTTCTCTCAATTTTGGAGTGCACCCGAGACTTCGTTATTCCTCAGTACTGCATAATGACACAGAATTTGAAATTGCAACTGTGGTAGCATATGTTGAAGCAACTTAGATATGTCTGATTATAGTTGGAACATTCAAGATCCATTGTGAGTAATGATTAAAGCTTCAAATATCTTTATTGTTAGTAAAACTTGTCAAGTAAGTGAGTGTCGAGTCTGTCAGAATAAGTGGCATATCCTTATATCGTCCTCGGGGATAGCCATGAGTTTCCAAGTGCTACGGAAATTAGATTATTTTGATGCCCAAACATCAGAGAATCTGATGTTTTTAGTGTAGTTAGTGTCAGTTGTCTAGTTTAGAAAGTCATTAATCTCCTGAAAAGATTCCGTCAAACTCAAAATCTCCAAAACCTAACGGCTCCACAGGAAGAATTCCTTGGCTGTGGTTTTTGGTTTACGGTAAGAAGAGTTGTTAGTGCGTGTTTAACGTCCATTTCACTTTTTCCTGGGAAATTCAATCTCTGATTAGATTATATGGATAGAAGTAGGAAATTAGCCTGACCCGTGTCACTTTTACATTACTGTTATCCTCTTCACCACTGATCGGCTCGGTAGAACGAACATCAGGATTATTTTTTTGTTTTTTGTTTTTTGTCAACCAGCCAAGCTGTGGAATCAAGAACAGTACAGGGGTTCAAAATAGCCCTTGACACAACAATTAAGAACAATGGAGGGAACTTAAGCACGCCGCTGGCCACCTCTGGCTACCTCTGGTTTGGGTGGACGTTAGGTAAATATGGTAAAAATAGCTGCATACCCGAGACTCACTTCCGATCAGTAACGTTCCTAGAAGTCACATTTTTACTTTTACTTTTTTTTTACTTTTATCCTCTTCGCCACTGATCGGCTCGTTAGCCGCTTGGGCGGTCGGTACGTCTCTTTTACACACTTTGCTGTGCGTATTATGGAGGTACAACACAGCTTTCTTAAATAAGTGATCATGCCTCCAATTAACGCGCCAACCTTGAAGAGACGACTTGACAAACAGTGAGCATATGGTAAATGTTTAAATGTTCAATTACACAGAGCCTTGAGATGTAAACCACGTTTTGACGTAGTAGCTCCCCTATCCCCCGCGACTACGTACAAATTATTGTCTAACTGCTAGATGACGTCTTTGTTCAGAGTACGTCTAATATTTAACCTGAGTCAGTAAAGAGTAATACCTCGTTCACCGTCGCATTTTAGTGAGTCATTTGTTTTGCGCGTCACCACTGGTGACATAAAGAGATAAAACATGCTGCGGAGAACGTCACACACACACACACATACACTGGTTTTCTTTATCCTCACTCAACAGAGGAATTAAAAGAATGTTAATATGTAAACTTTCCAATACAGCGAGTTGTTTGTTGTGAGTCCCTCGTGGTTGGCAGGCAGGAAACAACTCCGCCTCACGCGAGTAGGTCCAAGGATAAAATACTGTGTATGATAGTGTGGGGTTATGAGATATTGGTTCACACTCAGGATGAGATGGAGAAAGGAAACTCACAATGTGCTCTCTGTATACATATTGTATTGGCTGTACAATGCAGCTTGGTGCTGGGGGGTGGCAGCGTGGGTCCAAGCGTGGAGTAGAGAGAGCTGGTTAGTGAGGGTGCTCAGAGGAGGACAAGCAGCTTGAGGGGCGCCATGGTCGCCGGCGGGAGCGGGAGACACCAGGCAGGAGCAGAGGAGGTGTTGCTTGCTGGTGGCTGTAGGTAGAAGAAAGAGGTAGGTCACGGCCACGTGAGGTCTTATAGAGCGGGGGTAAGCGTGGCTTGATAGTTGACCTCCGCTTTGTTAGGCGGTGCTGGTTACCGACCTCAGACCACGAGGCGTAAGCTGGGGAATTCGAAGAGGGTCGGCTAGTCAGCGACAAACAGCGGTTGTAGGGGAGATATCCACTACAATAGCAGGTAATTACGGGAAGGGGGTTCAGCCACAAGGTAGGCATATTCTGGCAATACAGTGAATTATTTAAGGAGTTCGATGGGCTATTGTAGTGGACGTCTCCCCTACAACTGCGTATCGCATTCCGACCAAGTGAGAGCTGACGCCAGATGGTACGGTAGCCTAGCAACGAAACTAGTCACCGGCGACTTTCTGGGTTTTCCCAACATGATTCATAGAGGACTGGCGGCTGCTGCTGGGTATATAAGCTCTGTCTCTCCATTGAGATTCATTCTGACCATCTTCCTGAACAAGCAACACCTCCTCAGCCGCTGCCTGGCGGCCCTCGCTTCTCCTCCGCCTGCCTGGCGGTCCTCGCTCCCGCCAGCGAGCATGGCGACCCACCAGCTGTCCTTCTCTGAGCTTCCTCACCAACCAGCTTTCTCATTCTGGTCTCTCTTCTTGAACAAGCAACACCTCCAGCAAGCTCCACGCTGTCAGCATTCATTCAACCAGGAGGCCAGCAACAGGCAACATCTTCTCTAACGAGGCTCCTGCACATCTACCTCCTTCAACACGCTACTCACCGAACGTCTCTACTGAGCAGCTCCTCACCACACGGCACCTCCAGCACCAGGCTGTCTACCATATAACTTATATTATACAAGAAAACCACCTTAGAGTTTCCATCCATCCTGAGTGCTAGACAACATTATACCACGAATTCCTACACTATCATTAGTTAAATCGAATTACTGTTTACTCTTGTTTGTATACCTGCAATGTTTATGTATATACTGAACCAAATGTGTACGTCAATGACGATTTTATTGAGTAAATATCTATCTATCTACGTCAGTTAGTGATCGATAGCGAAAGTGTGTGTGTGTGTTTCAGAAACAAATTTGCCCCAAACAGAGCGGGAAAAAATATGTGTGTGTATGGCTGCAGCTTAAATTTGGTTTCTTTACCTGGAAGGCGACACACGTAATTTTAACTAGGACTATTTTAAAGCTTAATTATTTTGTAACATTATACTTCATATATGTAATAGCAACGCATGTAACACTTTATATATGTAATATCACATGCGATAATTTATTTAAGCAAACATCATCATTAATTATTACTTCACCTATCATATGTTACATAGGTGACCTATGTAACATATGTAATTAAGGAGCACAGGTAAAAAAGGCAACTGTAACTTCCTTAAAATAAACCTCAGATAGATAAAAATAAAACACTGATAAATTACGAGATAAAACACTTAATATAAGAGATTATCATAGAAAAATGAGCATTACCGGGTACTGTTTCAGAAGAATTGTTGACAAAAAAGTCACTCATGTTATTTTCTATTCTAACTCGTATTAAATTTATACTGTACTGCGACGTGACTTAGGTCTTTTATTGTTATATTCTAGCTCTACAAATTCTCTTGTCCATTCGTGGCCTAGATAAAAGCGCGGAAAGGAATCAAAGCTCAGTGCGCATGATCATCTGAATGGTCCGCATTCCCCACTCCCCGGGTGCCTGAGGTGCCTGCCAATATCAGTCAATCATCAGAGGTGAGGGTGTGTGTATGACGCTCAGTGTGTTGTCCTCACAAGAGAATTTGGTGGATTGCTTTGTGTTTCAAAGACATGCATGACAAGAAACATTGTATATCTGTCATTTATACGGACACCGGGTGTGTGCACCTGAAAACCTTTTCCAGTTACTAATATATTTCTGCATATTTTGTAATTGTTTCCATTAATAATTTATTTTTATAATACCCTGCACATCGTTAAGAATTGTAATGGAAGGTAATTCAGTTTATGATTAATAATTCAAACAAGTTAATACACGTTACCCAATGTGTCCGATTCGTGTGGTATAATTTTTACAGCGACAAAACTAAAACAATATATTTGATGGGTGTTTTATGAAGAAAACCTTTATGCTACTTAATCATTTGCAGTAAAATTTTAACTTTGTTTTTGGCTTTCAATAAAAATGAGTTTGACCAAGAACACCTATGACAGATACATTCAGATCTACCGTCTGGCTCAGACTTTACTTTCATTATTACTAAAAATCCTCAAATTTCTTGTATTCTGGACAACTTTGATATTCACGTTTAAATCAAAGCAAAATTTATTTGTTTCTAAGTGATAAGGTGATTATTATATAAATGATTCGAATAAAAATAATAATTGTATACTGTATAAGGGCAGAACATTTGAAGTAGTGATAGACATAAACAATATGTCATCACCTGTTGAGCTGGAAGACGTGCTCTCTGCTTCTCGGAGGATCCATGGCTGGGTCCACAGAACACCTGTCCTCACCTGCCACTCCCTTAACACCCTCGCCGGCAGACAGCTGTACTTCAAAGCTGAGAACCTCCAGAAGACCGGCTCCTTCAAAGTCCGGGGAGCTTGTAACTCGGTATGTTAAAACACCCCACCTTGTCATAGCCATTTTATGTACAAACAGAATTGTTTTTTTTTATAGGACAAGTCTTTCGGTTATTATTCAGTTGAGCACATCTTCAAATCACATAGAAGCACTAACTTTTAGTCAATTTCTACCTCATATTACATACCTCAACCCTTGAAGCCTCTTGGAAACTTGTTTCTTTCAGAAAAATCGCCCAAGTGAGGAACGCATAAGAAATTAGACCATTAAATCTCCACCCACCATTTCTTGTTCCACCATGAGCTGTCTGGAGCCGTGAGGCATGTCACACTGCCTGTCTCCGCAGGGGTTAGGTTAGGTTAGGTTAAGATAGGTTAATTTAGTGAAAGTTAGGGGTTTAGCTGTTTGGTTTCTGATGTATTTTGTTCAGATCTACACCTTTGGTTTTTATGGAAAATTGCAGTTTTTTATCAAGGATGACTTGCATCTTTCTTTTTTAAATACATTTCCCATGGAAAAGAAAGTCAGTTATGAACAAAACACATCAAAACACATCAAAATACATCAAAATACATCAAAATCAAACATCTCGTGAAAATATTCGAGGGTGTGCTAAAACAAATAATTACGAGTCTTTCTATTGGGTATTTTTTTTTTTTTGGTCATCCAGGGAATCTTAGGAGGGTATTATTGCTTCAGTCATGCAGTGAATTTAGGTTTAGGTTAGGTTGTTACATTTACTTTTTACTTTTTTACTTTTATCCCCTTCACCACTCATCGGCTCATTAGCCGCTTGGGCTAACGGCTCCTGAATGTACCTGAACCTTCTCCAGTGTTGGTCAAGTCTGCTTTTGAAAGAGCTCACACTTGGTGCCGTCACAACACTCTCTGGTAGATTGTTCCAAGAGTTCACAACTCTCACTCCGAAAAAGATACCCCTCACAGTTTTCTGGACTTGCGGCTTCTTTAACCTTGAGCTGTGTCCCTTTGTGGGACGAGCGTCCGCCAGCTCCAGGTAAGGACACTCGACTGAGTAGTGCCCCTTGAGATGTTTATACACCTCAGTTAGGTCTCCACTTGCCTATCTGTAGTACAGTACAGTGGTCCCTCGGTTAACGAACACAATTCGTTCCAGAAGGACGTTCGTTAACAGAAAATTTTGCTAACTGAAACCATTGTTTCAATGGGATTTTGGGTAATTGGTTCCAGCTCACCGAAAATTACATACAAACTAAAAATAAATGCAGTAAAGTACACTTACTTTGAGGTGTGCATGTAGAAGGCTCCTGGTTGATGATGATGATGATGATGGGAATTAGATTGGGGGTGGAGGAGAAGGGAGAAGAGAAGGCATTGGAGTGGAAGAGAAGTCACTCCATGCTGTCCATTTCACCCATAAAATTTTAGTTCACTTGGTGTAATTCAAGATTATTTTCTTTAAATCAACACTGCACTGCGTTATATATTATCAATATGTAAAATATATTTCAAAATGACCAATAATTTGACTGGAAACACAGAAAAAAAGCATTTATGTTGAAGAGTCTCAAGCAAGATGTTCCTTCCTTTGAACCGGTAAACAAACAGAAGGCAAGCTTGGTGTGTTGAGTGGCTGTTTGGCGTGCAAAAAAATAGTTTCCTGTACTTCAATTATGTTCAATAATTGTTAAAGTTACTAAAAAATTTAATATAAAACTTTAAAAATAATTGAATAGTACAACCTTCTTGATATTTACTAAAATGGTAAGGAATTTAAGCCATAATACCGATTACTGTATTGGCAGACTAATACTACAGCTGGTGAGCAGGCAAATGCAGGCGAAAACATGTTGGGAAAAATTCGTAAGGAAGTCGTTAACCAAATTTTTTTGTTAACCGAAGTGAAGAAACTTATGAAAGGTAATTCGTCAACCGAGGCACTCCTTAAACGCGCTCTAATCTCTCGGGGTAACTGAGGTGCCGCAGTGCAGGCACCAGTCTGGTGGCCCTCCTTTGAACATTTTCAATCAACTGACAGTCCCTAGCATATCTCGGGGACCAGACGGGGTGACAGTACTCCAGATGAGGAAACACTTCACTCTTGAAGATGAAGATTGTTACGAGGGACGGACCGTCTAGATATCTGAACAACCTTCTTATAAGATCCAGCAAATTTTAATAATACAGTCTCTCCCTGACTTACGACTGGATAAGGGCCCAGAATCCAGGTCGTAAGTCCGACATGGGTGTAAGTCCGACATAGATAAAAAAAAAAAAAAAAAATCTACAATGAAATACAGTACAGTAAAAGTAATAAATAATGAGGAATGGATACAGTGTGACTGAGCACTTACCTTATTGTAGTCAGCTGAATGCACACAGGGCCCCCATAATTTTCTATTTACAGGATACATGGAGACTATATTATTTGGAAGAAGCAGAAGAGGAGACAGGGCTGGGTGGGTCATTAATGTTGCTTTCTTCAGACAGGTTTATGTAATGTGGAAACTTGCTGGTTGAAGGTATTGGATCATCTTAAGGGAATGAAGAGGCAGCACTGGTGGGGCGTGAGGAGCCAGCACTGGGGGACTTCTTGAAATAGGTGTCCAATTTGGACTGCACAGTTTGCTTTTTCTTTTCATTTCAATCTCCCTGTAGCAAGGAAGTGCATCTTGGACCATTCTGTCAACTTTGGCATAACGCTCATAATTTTGATCCATGCCATCAAACATATGCATTCCTTTATTAATTGTAGCAAATGCCTCTACCATTTGTTTCATTGAAAACTTTTTGGGGGGTACAGGTTCTTCTACATTTTGTCTCTCTTCTTCCTCTGCAATTTTCTGTGCATCTAGTTCAATAAGATCCTCGTTACTGAGCTCTTCTGCTACACTTTCAACCAACTGTCCAACATCTTCATTATTAATTTCTAACTCCAGCTGTTTACCCAACTCCACTATCTTGTTACTAATATCCGAAATAACTTCATTTCCATTAAATCCTTTGAAACTGTTCACATATCTTTTCAGGATTTTCTTCCATATTCCATTCATGCAATGTTTTGTAACCTGATCCCATGCTGCACTAATGTTCTTTATACATGACAAAATGTTGTACTCCTTCAAAAACTCTCTGAGCGTTTTCTCACCTTCAGTAGCAGCAACAGCCTGAGCGAAGGTCGTGCGTAAATAATATGCTTTAAAGGCAGCAATAGCACCTTGATCCATGGGTTGGATGATAGAGGTAGTGTTAGGTGGAATGTAGACTACCTTAACATCAGGGTGCAGGTCGTCCAGGCGTGGTGGGTGTCCCGGAGCATTATCCAAAATCAGTAAAATCTTGAATGGAATCCGTTGTTGCAGACAACACTCCTTGGCTCGTGGAATGAAACAAGTCATGAACCAATCCTCAAACAGTGCTAAGGTCATCCAGTCTCTCTTATTACTGCGATAAAACACTGGCAGTGTGTGCTTGCTGACATGTTTAAAAGCCCTAGGGTTCTCTGAATGTTAGATCATGAAGGGCTTTAGCAAGAAACCAGCAACATTCCCCCCAACAGAAGTGTAATTCTGTTCTTGAATGCCTTGAATCCGGGCATTGTTTTCGCCTCTTTGTGGATGTATGTCCGTTCAGGCATGCGCTTCCACAATAATCTAGTCTCGTCCACATTGAATATTTGCTGAGGCAAATAATTTCCTTCCACAATCACATCATCTAACTCCTCCTTAAAAGATTCGGCAGCACCAACATCGGCACTAGCTGCCTCTCCACTCACCTTAACATTATGTAGACTGTAGCGTTTTTTAAATCTATCAAACCACCCATGACTTCCTGTAAAGGTTTGATCACATTCATCTCCTGCCTGCTCCTTCAGGCTTTGGAACAGGCTTCTTGCTTTAGCCTGTATGGTTAGAAGGCTTAAGGGTACACGCTTCTGTATCTGGTCTTCTATCCATATCACCAATAATTTTTCCATATCGTGAATAGGACCTTGTCTTCTCTTTGATATTATAGTTCCCTTTATAGGTGTTGTTCCTTTCACTACTTCACGAATACGTTCCTTGTCCTTCAGAATAGTGGATATAGTCGAGTGTGAGAAACCTAGGTCGCGTGAGATTGTTGCTACTGTTTTTCCATTCTCATGCTGTGTTATTATCTTCATTTTCATCTCAAAAGTAATTGCCTGTCTCCTTTTCCTTGGAGCACCACCAGCACTCTCACTTTTACGCTTTCCAGTCATTATAAAGTCAATTAAATACGATAATAACGAAAGTTCACAGCGCGATCAGTATAGGATACGATAGCCAAACACAAACTAAGCGCTCCACTGAGTGAGTGTACCCACGAGGCGACCCGAGACGCGCCCACCCTCTCGCCCAAGGACGGAAACGTTTCGGTATAGAAAATGCGCGCGTCATTTGAAAATATTTTTGGTCACGACTGTCGCAGTCGTATGTCCCGACGGACGTACGGTCAGAGCAGGTCGTAAGTACCAATGGACGTAAGTCCATGTGGTCGTAAGTCGGGGTCTAGCTGTGTGTGTATATATATATATATATATATATATATATATATATATATATATATATATATATATATATATATATATATATATATATATATATATATATATATATATATATATATATATATATCCACAATGAAAACGTGGATAAGATAAATCTTGATAAAATCACACGGGAAAAGGGAAACAACGGAGCACCTTAGCTTTCGTCTTTATTCAAGACATCTTCAGAGGCAACTGGATTACATGGACAGAGAGAGGCTTAAATATACAGGGTGACCTTATTAAACATGAGGTCAGGTCATAATGATGTCATCCACTAATCCCCACACCAACACACACGTAGAGGAGCTTAAGAGAAGGGGGCGACGTGACTAGTCAGGTCAGGTCAAAAATAAGGGACCCACTAAATAACTATCCTACATCTAGATCAAAGGTTTTCAAAGCATTTTTAACCTTGGGCCACTGACAAATAAATTTATGTAACATATTATCAGTTTTGAACTGACCATCACTAATGTTTATTGATTTTAATTCCTTAATCAAACTCGCTTCAACCAGAAGTCTTTCTGTGACACAAGATGATTTGAATACTTCTAAGCTTTTTTCCCAAGCAATGGGATGATTATTATTCCTAACATGAACAAACAGGGCACTGCTTTCAGATGCTGCTCTGATATTGTACTTATGTTGTTTGATTCTGAGCTGCAGTGTTTTTCCTGTCTGTCCTACATAATTACAATTACATTTGCTACATGGAATACAATAAACACTTCCATTTACATTCAAATTTGGGCTATTTCTTATTAACATATTGGTAATGGTTGAGTCATACTTTAAAACAACATTAATATTTAGTAGCTTGAGGGACCGAACTAACGGGACAAATTCATTACGATAGGGCAGAGTCACAATATTCTTAAGTGTAGGAATTTGCCTGGTTTGAGAGGAATGAAAGGATTTTTTAGCCCTTTTAAAACAACGATCAACAAGCACAGAAGGGTACCCGAGTTTTTGTGCAATGGAACGAATGTGTTTCAATTCATCATCAAAAATATATGTACAGGTATATGTACCCTGCCGAACACGGAATGCTCACTTTACGCGGTGCATGTACTCTTTTACGCGGAGAGCGGCGCTGGCAGGGTGTGCACAAGGTCGCCCAGTCATCAAAACATTACCGAGTTCTTCACCCGCCAGTGCCGCCACCCACCACAGTCGGCCCAAGTCAGTGATAGTGAGGATATGGACTTATATGGACTTTGGGGGGTTCGACAAAGAGGCCCTGCAAGCCTCTGTGGTGGATAGTGATACAAGTGATACAGGTGAGGGCCAATAATCTGCCCTCTGCCTCGGAACCAACCCCCCCGTCACCGTGTGCCCAGCCATCTTTTCTACTAATGTAAGTGTTAAAAAACCTAATATTATTGATATTTCTCTTAATTATTAATTGTGTGTGCGTACCATCGTAAAATTAAGAAGTTATTTTTACTACAACGTAGGTATTGTGTCTGAAAAAGTGGAGTTTGGGGGTTGGCCCAGTCTCTCTTTCAATTAATCCCGAATGTTCTGTTGTTCACTTTACGCGTTTCCTGCTTTATGTGGGCCTCCGTGGGTTCAATTGACCGCGTAAAGCGAGATTTCACTGTATATATAATTTTTTATTTTTTTAATCTTATTTTTTATTTTTATTATTATTTTTTTAATCAGTAGTGTAGACAATTCTAAGACACTTTTATTCTATGGCATTTTTCCCACTCATTAATACTTTCAGAGAAAATTGCACTACATTTTTGGACTCTTTTATGTTCTTTCAATAAGTCTATGATCACCACCTGCGAAGATATTGGAAGCATAATGTGTTGTCTAATGGTAGACCCTGCTGCCATATGGCATCACGAAAATTGTGACCAAGTCCCAGGTTGCTGATCTGACTTTCTGCCTCATTTACACACAATTGCAGGATCTCAATTGTTTCTCTTATTTTGACAACACAACATACAGTACATATATTGTTTCTCAATATTGATCTTTTTTTGTATTTATTGTTGTAATTATTTATGGGCCTTTATTAATAATAATAATACTATTATTATTATTATTATTATTATTATTATTATTATTATTAATGTTATATTATTATATTATATTTTTATTCAATATTTTTTGTAAATTTTTATAAATTTGTATTTTTATTAATTATTATTATTATTATTATTATTATTATTATTATTATTATTATTATATTTTTGACCCCAGGAAACAGGGAAGTGAAGTACAGTATATTAAATTGAAAACAAAAGACAATCAAACCAATATTTACCGTATTAAAACCCCAATGAGATCCTCCAGCATTTCTTTTACTTCTTGACAAATCAAGATTCACAAATTTATACTGTATACATTTAAAAGCAGATGAGAACAATGGACACCACTGGAGACCTGAAATTACTATTTAATGATCAGTTTTACCCCGTAATTTCCCATTTCATGCTCTACACCTTTCCCATAATTTTGGAAACTTTATCTTTCTGTTGTGTCGTTGTTATAATGGTTAGGTCAGGTACATTGTTTTCTTGATTTTTCAGGTGTTTCTGGAGAAGGAAAACAATCCGGACAGTGCAGGAGTTGTAACACACAGCAGTGGGAACCATGCTCAGGCAGTGGCCTATGCTGCCAGTAAGTTGTCATAATTTTTAATAATTTAATTGAGTTTGCTGGATGGGTGTATCAGCCCTGTACACCTAGATCTTCTTGAGTGGTGTGTTACCCTACTGGATATAGTTTATACCGTACAGTCTCGTTCAAGATTCTTCGAACACTGCTTGTGACAGCTGGCAACTCTAGGCCGTTTGTTTATTATACTACGTAGTAAAAATTATGAATGAATGTAAAAGTGATCGGTGATTGGTTACTTAGTTCCCTGTTGCTTAATTAATGGTTGGCTTTGTTGTTTCACATTATATTATACCTTTCTGCTGGTATATACTGTTAATCTTATTTAAAAATGGATAGAGTAATGGGCCAACCTATATGAATTCATGTTTAGACAATTAAACATAAGTAAATATCGGTAAGTACACTATGTTAAAGAACATCATGCATCGGGCACAGCTGTGGAGGTTGGAGGGCAGCAGTTGGTGGAGGTTGGAGGGCAGCAGTTGGGGGAGGTTGGAGGGCAGCAGCTGGGGGGAGGTTGAGGGCAGCAGCTGGGGGAGGTTGGAGGGCAGCAGTTGGGGGAGGTTGGAGGGCAGCAGTTGGGGAAGGTTGGAGGGCAGCAGTTGGTGAGGTTGGAGGGCAGCAGTTGGGGAAGGAAGGTTGGAGGGCAGCAGCTGGGGGAGGTTGGAGGAGGCAGCAGTTGGGGAAGGTTGGAGGCAGCAGTTGGGGAAGGTTGGAGGCAGCAGCAGTTGGGGGGAGTTGGAGGGCAGCAGTTGGGGGGAGGTTGGAGGGCAGCAGCTGGGGGAAAGTTGGAGGGCAGCAGTTGGGGGAGGTTGGAGGGCAGCAGCTGGGGGGAGGTTGGAGGGGCAGCAGTTGGTGGAGGTTGGAAGGCAGCAGTTGGGGAAGGTTGGAGGGCAGCAGTTGGGGAAGGTTGGAGGGCAGCAGTTGGTGGAGGGTTGGAGGGCAGCAGTGGGGGAGGTTGGGGGCAGCAGCTGGGGAGGTTGTAGGGGCAGCAGTGGGAGGCTGGAGGGCAGCAGTTGGGGATGCTGGAGGGCAGCAGCTGGGTGAGTTGGAGGGACAGCAGTTGGGGGTAGGTTTGGAGGGCAGCAGTTGGGGGAGGTTGGAGGGCAGCAGCTGGGTGAGGTTGGAGGGCAGCTGGGTGAGTTGGAGGGCAGCAGTTGGTGGTTCTTGGAGGGGCAGCAGTTGGGGGAGGTTGGAGGGGCAGCAGTTGGTGGTTGTTGGAGGGCAGCAGCTGGGTGAGGTGGAGAGGGCAGCAGTTGGTGGTTGTTGGAAGGACAGCAGTTGGGGAGGTTGGAGGGGCAGCAGCTGGGGAGGTTGGAGGGCAGCAGTTGGCAGAAGTTGGAGGGCAGCAGTTGGTGGAGGTTGGAGGGCAGCAGCTGGGTGAGGTTGGAGGGGCAGCAGCTGGGTGAGGTTGGAGGGCAGCAGCTGGGTGAGGTTGGAGGGCAGCAGCTGGGTGAGGTTGTAGGGCAGCAGCTGGGGGAGGTTGGAGGGGCAGCTGGGTGAGGTTGGAGGGCAGCAGCTGGGTGAGGTTGGAGGGCAGCAGCTAAGGGAGGTTGGAGGGCAGCAGCTGGGTGAGGTTGGAGGGGCAGCAGTTGGGGAGGTTGGAGGGACAGCAGTTGGGGGAGGTTGGAGGGGCAGCAGTTGGGGAGGTTGGAGGGCAGCAGCTGGATGGTTGGAGGGCAGCAGCTGGGTGAGTTGGAAGGACAGCAGTTGGGGGAGGTTGGAGGGACAGCAGTTGGGGGTTGCAGGGGCAGCAGTTGGGGAGGTTGGAGGGGCAGCAGTTGGGGCAGTTTGGAGGGGCAGCAGTTGGGGGAGGTTGGAGGGCAGCAGCTGGGGAGGTTGGAGGGGCAGCAGTTGGGGAGGTTGGAGGGGCAGCAGCTGGGTGAGTTGGAGGGGCAGCAGTTGGTGGTTGTTGGAGGGGCAGCAGCTGGGTGAGGTTGGAGGGGCAGCAGTTGGTGGTTGTTGGAGGGAGCAGCTGGGGAGGTGGAGGGCAGCAGTTGGTGGAGGTTGGAGGGGCAGCTGGGTGAGGTTGGAGGGCAGCAGCTGGGGGAGGTTGTAGGGCAGCAGCTGGGTGAGGTTGGAGGGGCAGCAGTTGGTGGAGGTTGGAGGGCAGCAGCTGGGTGAGTTGGAGGGCAGCAGCTGGGGAGGTTGGAGGGCAGCAGCTGGGGAGGTTGGAGGGGCAGCAGTTGGGGAGGTTGGAGGGACAGCAGTTGGGGGAGGTTGGAGGGGCAGCAGCTGGGGAGGTTGGAGGGCAGCAGCTGGGGAGGTTGGAGGGCAGTTGGGGTGGGTTGGAGGGGACAGCAGTTGGGGGGAGGTTGGAGGGCAGCAGTTGGGGGAGGTTGGAGAGGGACAGCAGTTGGGGGAGGTTGGAGGGCAGCAGTTGGGGGGAGGTTGGAGGGCAGCAGTTGGGGCAGGTTGGAGGGACAGCAGTTGGGAGGTTGGAGGGAGCAGCAGTTGGGGGGAGGTTGGAGGGGCAGCAGCTGGGGGAGGTTGGAGGGGCAGCAGTTGGGAGGTTGGAGGGCAGCAGTTGGGGGAGGTTGGAGGGCAGCAGCTGGGTGAGGTGGAGGGCAGCAGCTGGGTGAGTTGGAGGGCAGCAGCTAAGGGAGGTTGTAGGGCAGCAGCTGGGTGAGGTTGGAGGGCAGCAGTTGGGGGCAGGTTGGAGGGCAGCACCTGGGTGAGGTTGGAGGGACAGCAGTTGGTGGAGGTTGGAGGGACAGCAGTTGGGGGTGGAGGGCAGCAGCTGGGTGAGGTTGGAGGGCAGCAGCTGGGTGAGTTGGAGGCAGCAGCTGGGGGAGGTTGCAGGGCAGCTGGGTGAGGTTGGAGGGCAGCAGCTGGGGAGGTTGTAGGGCAGCAGCTGGGTGAGTTGGAGGGCAGCAGTTGAGGCAGGTTGGAGGGCAGCACCTGGGTGAGGTTGGAGGGCAGCAGTTGGTGGAGGTTGGAGGGACAGCAGTTGGGGGAGTTGGAGGGGCAGCAGCTGGGTGAGGTTGGAGGGCAGCAGCTGGGTGAGGTTGGAGGGCAGCAGCTGGGGGAGGTTGGAGGGCAGCAGCTAGGGGAGGTTGGAGGGCAGCAGCTGGGTGAGGTTGGAGGGGCAGCAGTTGGTGAAGGTTGGAGGGCAGCAGCTGGGGGAGGTTGGAGGGCAGCAGTTGGGGAGGTTGGAGGGCAGCAGCTGGGGAGGTTGGAGGGCAGCAGCTGGGGGAGGTTGGAGGCAGCAGCTAGGGGAGGTTGGAGGGGCAGCAGCTGGGGAGGTTGGAGGGCAGCAGTTGGTGGAGGTTGGAGGGCAGCAGCTGGGTGAGGTTGGAGGGCAGCAGCTGGGTGAGGTTGGAGGCAGCAGCTGGGTGAGTTGGAGGGCAGCGATGGGTGAGTTGGAGGGGCAGCAGTTGGGGTAGGTTTGGAGGGCAGCAGTTGGGGTAGGTTGGAGGGCGCAGCTGGGTGAGTTGGAGGGCAGCTGGGTGGGAGTTGGAGGGCAGCAGTTGGTGGGTTCTTGGAGGGCAGCAGTTGGGGAGTTGGAGGGCAGCAGTTGGTGGTTGTTGGAGGGGCAGCAGCTGGGTGAGGTTGGAGGGCAGCAGTTGGTGGTTGTGGAAGGGACAGCAGTTGGGGGAGGTTGGAGGGGCAGCAGCTGGGGGAGGTTGGAGGGCAGCAGTTGGCAGAAGTTGGAGGCAGCAGTTGGTGGAGGTTGGAGGGCA